CTCGTTGATGCAAACCGCAGTATTTCTCGAGTCAAGGATACGGTCCAAATCGGCAATCTCCTCATTTGCTCGATCTGTTGGCAGAGACACTGTAGGGTTGCTGCAATCTATGCCTAAACTGTTACCTTCAACATGCTCGAGCTGATCATCATTCACTTGAACACTGTCGGAGTCGTTTTCCGATCCTGCGGCCTCTGCGCTGGGGATGGTCACATCCATGGTGATGGTCGCCTTTTCCTGTTCAACAACGCATTGCAGTGCAGAGTGATGGTCTCCTCCAGCCGGGGCAGGCGAATGACTAGGAGAGCGTGACCCCTGACCTGCAGGATGAGTGGGCATTCTAAAGCCCAGTGGTGGCTCGGCGAAAGACCTATTTTCTTTGCATTCGACCGTAAATACATGCTCTTCTGCTGCATCAGTGGGCCTTTGCACATGTTGAACAGATCGGTCCAAAACAGCCACAGAAGGAGAATCAGACGGTACGCTGATCGCAATGGTAGGCTTCATCAACGCGACTTTCTTTCGCGGCACGGGGCTGGTTGGCGTGTCGTCATCGTCTTTTTCAACCGCTTCTGCCTCGGATGTTCGACCCTCCTTTGCATTGATTATGATACCATCACGCTCCGCTTCCAACTTTTGTCTCAAGCTCAGGCCACCCAGGCTGCGCGGTGTTCTGATGAGCTCATCATAACTGCGGGCCTGACCTTTACCCGGTGTAAAACCGAGACTCTCCGCGATAACGCGACTAATGGAGCGCGCTCGTTGCTGACTTTGCTGCAACGGCGTTTGGGCGCGCTTTACCGAAGCTGGATTAGTTGGAGTAGCGACGACCCGGCGTGCCCGAAGGGCTTCCGTCGCAGGCTTAGGGGTGGGGATCGGCGAAGCTACATCCGTGGTGGGCGTGGTGGGTGGGTCTTGATTTACAACGCTCTGGAATGTTTCCTGAGCAGGCTGCATTTGTTCGGGATGAGGAGCGCAGATAGTGACGCTAGAGGCCATCGCCAGTAACTTTGATGAAGCGTCTACTGCGCCTGTATTGGGAAGGATTCCAGGTTTCGGAATACGTTCGTTGAAATACGGACGAGGTAGTGATCTGACATTCACCGGCTCGGCGGGCCCTGGACGCAATGCCGTTTCGGCAGCCTTGGTTGGAAGATGTCGTGCAATCTCTGGACGCGCTGGCTTGATTTCAAGTTTTGCAGGTGGCGGGAGTGGTTTCTTCCTTATCACTCTAACAGCGCCAGCGTAAATCGATTGCCTTTTAGTCTGGATATCTGCGTCCTCTATACGCAGCGTCGAGCGCCTGAATGCGCCCCCGTGCATGGTTAACCGGGTGCCCGGTCCTTGCCCCATTCGGGAATCAAGCTGTCCTGAACTGTCACTGCCCAGAATATCATTCAGGCTAGCGTTGTTAAACTCTTCTCGCCCAAACCCATGCCGTCTTGTAGTTGTTGTCATTCTACGCGGTGCAGAGACCGTAACTCTTCTGGGATTACCTAACTGAGGTCTCATTGATTTGCCGTCAAGGTCGGTCGTATCCTCGCTGCCGAGAATGTCTTTCAATGCCTCGTTGTTGAATTCCTCTTGAATAGGTGGAGGTGGCGGTTTTCGAACCACTGCTCTTCGAGCAGCACCAGACACACCAGCGATTTTTCCAAAGACCGTACGAACTGGCCCGTCCTGGGATGCGTCGTCTGATGGACTCTCGACAGAGTGTGCACTTGGGTCTGCCATGTCTGACTTTTGCGGAGACAGGAATGTCACTCTCTTCTGAACCGGTTGCCGGTCTGCCGCGCTCGACAGTGCGTTCTTTTCGTCATTGTCAAGAGAATCCTGGGAGTTATGATTCTTCAAAGTCCTCGTTGGCGGCGCCTCATTTTCCGTCAGATTATTCGCTTTCAAGGTAGAGGCGCGATCCGAAATAACGTTCAGTTCTCTTTTTTCGCGCGGCCTGGCAGATTCCACTGTTGGCTTAAGGATGGCTTTTGTACCCTACACGTTTGACGACATGAATTCACGCGCACTCTGGACTCATCTCAGCCTAATCACGTACCGAATAAACTCCGGGCTTAGGCAGGTTTGAGCTTTCTGTAGCTGGCGCTCGCCCCTTCAAAGAAAGCGTATTTGAGTGAGATAAATGTCGCAAGAGTGGCACGGGCGATCTTTCAACTACCTTGGGATCATGGAGTTTAGGGCGTTTTACAGCATTAGTTGGACGAACGCCTGACTTAGCAGAGCGTGCGTTGGACGAAACGTTGGCTCCTACACTAATGGAGAGAGGATAAGTCTGCTGTCGAGCAACGCGAGTGGCGAGTTAGGTTGATCAAAAAGTGCATACTTTCGGGACCTCAGGTTGTATCGGCTGTCCATGGGTATGCATTACGCACAGGTCTATTGCTCCGCTACCACAATGAAATCACTGCCGATTCCACACGTTATATATATACGCTTTCTGTCAAGCTTCGGTTCCCGCATCTGCCACGTTAACAGTCGCTGCAAAAGTGTTCGAAGTGTTCGCGTTGTTTTCGGACATGAGTCATCCACGAGTGAGCAGCCGAACACTTTGCATTCTGCTGTCACCAAAGACGGATTACCGGCACTACGGCAGTCAATGGATGGCGAGTCTCCAGTCGACACTGATCTCTCAACAAGCGTACATAATTGGTTGTGCACGACAGGAAGAGTACGGTTTATCAAGCTCGGTTATTCGCGACCCTTGCTGAGGAAGAATGCATGGCACATCATTCCATTGCCACTGTCCTGCTAGCGCCTCTTTCTGATGCTGTGCGCTGACTACATACGTAAACTCATGTCGTGCTGTCGATGTCGCCGTATCTGCGTGTGTTGAAGCATCGCCTTTTGCACAGCAGTGGGAAAAAACAGCCCGCGACGTGACGTAACAAAAACTGACACGTCCTCGGCGCAACCCGCATTATGGCGTAGGAGTATGGCCAAGGAATAACCTACAAATACCCAGTCTGATCTCGTTTGTCGGCCAAGAACAGAGCAACTATTACTATTCTTCCCGAGATTCTTCACTGAAAAGCTACTACGCACTACACTATAGCAATGTTTGGATTTGCAGCGCGCCGACTTCCTCTTCTCCAGCCTATTCCCCGCACAGTTCGGTCGCAGTCACCAGTCGCTTTCCGTCGGCTTCAATCAACAGATGCTGGGCGTTACTCTGCCGGTGAAGTTCGCCAAAGACTACTACAAGATCGCGGAGATGAAACCATCGTTGTGGACATTAAAGACAAGCAAGAGGTTGGACAAACGGGATTTCTGGATATGAGCTATCGAATGAAGAGTAAGTTGAAGAATAATACCGTTCGAGATGTCTCCATCTTAGTCCACTAGTTTTGACGCCGCGTTATTCATTTGTAGAGTCTGACCTTGCCGAGGCGCTGGCCAAAACGGAGGAGGCTGGACCTGCAGTACAGCCGCGGTTCGAGTACAGATCGGATCGTCTCGAGTGCTACGTGAACTCGCCGCGTTCATCAGTACTAATTGGAGAGCTGGCAAAGCGCGGGACGCAAAGCGAGGGAAACATTGAGAATGCCTTCAGTGACAACGGAACAGATTTGACCGCGGCGAACTCTGGTGCCAGCAGGACGTCAAAGTCCAAGCAGCCGGTAGACCTGTAACCAGAGATGCCCCCTCTCTTTTTTGGTTAAAAACGCATTGCCAACGAAAAAAATAAAAGATCAAAGAGGTCCTCGGCCGCCACGCATCTGTCTATTGATTACCGTGTGTATCTATCTGGAGTAAATTGTCCAGTGTCCATTTTCCTATCTATGATTCAGCTCAGTTGACTCCCTCTGGCCACAATTCTGGCAACACCGTTGGTAGTTCCTTTACGTTTCGTATTTGGAAGTCACCATGTTTGGGTTCAGCCTCCGGATTCTCCGTAACGTGAACGGTCGTCCATCCAAGTTTCTGAAAGAGGAGCACGTCAATGACAGCACATCGTTTGAAGACAGCTTCTGATGGTAACCTACTTTGGCAGCGTCAATGTTCTTGGCAGCGTCATCCACGAGATAACACCTTCTATGATCTGTCACGCCAGCGTCCTTCATTGCTTGATGGTAATACGCGGGATCCGGTTTGGAGGTAAAATCCGGTAGGCGATAATTGCTAGAAAGTGTCAGAATCAGTCAGCCATTTCATATCTCAACGAACTGACCACAAGAAACCGAAAAGCGATACATACCAATACGTCAACCCTTCGAATTGGTCGTCGACCTGAAGCAATGACAACACTCGGTTCGCGTGAACTTTAAACGCATTCGTAAATGCCCATTTCCTCACTCCGCGGATGGATTGTAACATCTTTCGAAGCTCTGGATCCGGTTTGAGGTAATTTTGAAGCGGAATGGACTGATCGACTTCTTTATCGTACGCTAACGGGTCAACGTCTGGACGCGAAGCAAAACGGGTAAGAAACAGCACTGCTGGAATCGATACGGAGCAAAACCTACCGTGATGCTTCATCAACCCTCGTACAGCAAGACCATATTCCGTATAATAACGCTTGTGCAAGGCCGAGGCCTCTTCGTCCGGAAGATCCAGCTTTTGAAAATAGGCATGAATTCTGCATTCCAAAAGTCAGTAATTAAATCGTACATATTTGTTCATAACCCCATAATACGCTACCTCCTGCCCATCTCATCAAAGATGCCCGTGGACGCTGGGTACAGGCAATTGTCGATATCAAAGAAGAAGACGCTCCCAGCTGAGGCATCTGGTGTGACCATCATATTTATCGGGTTCACCTAATAGTAAGAGAAGCTAACTAAAATGCAGAAGTCTCTACGTCGTGAGCGATGCAGTCCTTTATAAAAAAGATTATCCCCGGGAGAAAGTAAAAGTGCTGGTTAATTATTAACCAATTGAGGGCAAGTGTTCTGAACGCGCAACGGAGATGAGTGCCAACAATAGAACACTGGGAACAATCCGTCGGCAGAATTCCAAATCAACACAAAAGGGATAAAAATATTTAGCACCCGAAATGGGATTCGAACCCACGATCTTCGCCTTAGGAGGGCGACGCCTTGCCACTGGGCTATCCGGGCGAATATATTGTTTAGACAAGATTTGAAGATTATGTGTTAGACATCTGGCATGATGCACAGTTGAATGCACTCCCCACTCACGCATGCACTGAAGGCTTACGAACGGACCAGCGGGCCAAATGCCAGTAAAATGTAAAATGTGCGGGTTCACCGCCGCTGACGAACCGAGCGTCAATTACAACAAAATGCCTCAATGCTTGTTTACAGTTATACGGAACCATTCGGCGACTCATGTACATGAAGCACTACTTTTCGTCGCACGATTTATTTGGGCTTAACAGTATATAAACAAGTAAAATCTGCTGGATCACCTTTCCAGAGGTCAAGAACGTTCCTGGTCTCTGGAAAGGTGATCCAACACCCAACACAAAGCGGCGTCAGGTTGGGCACAACACCACCGCTCACGACAAGTAGCGCCCCAAATTCCTCTCAGACGACGGGAATTACCCTGGTACGCTCACTCTCCAGGGTAGCTACTGCAAGTTCCACTGCCAGGTCCAACCATTCTCCTGTGACAGGGTCCCCATTGTAACAACCTCCTCGTCCCTCGTCTCGGCGCATAACTTTTCGGTTCTTAACACTCTGTGGCAGGCTTTTACTGCGTTGTCAGCGCCAAAATGATCTTCCAATCTTTGGATTGCTAACAGATTCACAAAAAATTCGGAAGGCATCAGCATTATGGCATGTGAGTACCGAATCGGTCTTTGAGGGACTTAAATTCAGCTTTCACACCGGTGTCGAGGAACGCTCTGGCTTGGTTCGCCGTGAGCAAGATTGGTCGAAATTTAGGCACTACGTCGGCAGACTGATCAGAGGTAGCCATTGCTTAGTAATGAGTGTATTTAGGATTAACGTGAACGCAGGATGAGTTCTTCTCAAGGTCATAATCCCTGCTTCTTTTGTTTAAAGAGGAAAGGGTCCAGTTTGCTGACACGCGTAGGACTAATTGACTCGTCTCACATAAAAGCCAATCCCGTACTCTTCACGTACATGCAGTCTGGGCAAGTGCAGAAAGTTGAAGTGGTGGCCCCCATACCACATCGATACTTCACTCTGCTGGGCATATAGGGCGGTCTCGCACCTTGAAGCTGGTTTGCTTGCCAAAGTTTCGCCCCATCTTGATATCGGCGAACCAAGCCAGAGCGTTTGTAGACAACGGTGTGAAGGCGCAATGTAAGCCACCTTGAAGATGATTAAGCACCATATGTCTTGATGCTAATGCCATTCCATATGCTTTTTTTGGGATCTGTCAGGCCATTCGCCAGACAGCTACATTATGCAAATTCAAGAGACGGCGCGAATCCCGGCGAACCCGTCCAGAAACTGGATCTGATGAAGGCATAGTTATGTTGACCATACTGGTTCGGTCGTGCGACGTTGCAAGTGGGAGGTGAGAGCATCCGCACCGGTGGGGTTGCAAGCGACTGGCGCCAAATGTAGCACCCGCTGCTATTTTCCCAACCACCTTGCAACCCACCCGATGCGGTGGCATGCTATAAGCACCTCACCGGTGCGGATGCTCTTGAGATCTTGCGCCTGATGCCACTTCGCTTGTTGTTAAGATTGTCAACATAAAGTTCCCAGGACCGGACGACTATATAGACTTAACATAATAGAATTTTCGTTACAATTGCATTGGCTTTTAAGAAACAACTGAAATGACATATTCAACCTCCCACTGAGGGAACGAGCCGTGCCTGCTGGACAGTTTGGTCTGCTGGCATCACAGGGATCAACGCAAGCAGCGCGGGCAAAGCCAACAAGGGCCTAGTCATTTATTACGCATTAGAGCAGTTCACGCTTGGCCCGATTAGAACCTCTGTCCGCCTCGATTGTTCCTTCTCAAAATTCCATCATCACCATTTCCAGATCTCCCCTGAGCATAAAAAGGCATCCTCGCTGCATTTGCCCCTCCGATCTCCCAAGAGCTAGTTCCCGCATAAACACCAGTTCGGTTTCATCATCTGCCGTGATCTTTGAATACGCCGTTTTTCATCTCGCACTAGTAACGCAAACCACCAATCGCACCGAAACAGGCGGGGGGTTTGCCTTACTGTGTGAGGAAGAGGGCGTATTCGGCCTTGCATAGCAGGAAAGCAGCCTCGGCACTCGTCGACGCGTTTGACGCGTTGGACGTGTTCCCAGCTCACACGTACAGCACCCCGTCGCACAGAAGTTGATCGAAAAAGACGCGCCATGTTCAACTCAAACTTGCAAGGGCTCGAGAGAAGGCATCATTTCAGGTGGTTGGCCGAGAGTGTACAGATTATTGGAGTAACATCAATTTATTGATGGGTACCACTATATGGCAAGTCAGTGATGGCGTTTGCCTACGCCCTGGTAGAAAAGTACAACAATCCCTGCCAAAAAAAGAACACCGACTACTTTCAGTTGGTGTATTTGCTCGACGCCATCTTTTCAATGATATCTACGCTTTTGTACTTTGACGGCTCCGGTACGGAATTGGTGCTGCCCATCATATCGAACCACTTGAACACGGGCTGATAGTTCTTCTTGAGTAGTAAGTGGTGTTCTTCGTGCTCAGAGGCAAGCCATCGTGAGTAGGGTAACGCCTTCACCATCCATTGTAGCGGACTCATGGCATACAGTAGAAAGTGATCATAGTAGCCAGCGTGGGCGGTGTTGAACTCCATGGTGAGGGTCAGCGCAGGTAAGACGATGGTCCAAAAGTTCGGCAGCGGACGCGAGAAGAAGTAGAGAACGGTGCACACCCAAAGGGTCAGGCCTGGCGATACGGCCATGATGTTTTCGAGATAGTGAGCATGACCGGTGAGGTACATATGGACTGGGGAATCCTCGTGGTGCCGTTTATGGATGGTGCGATACAGGAACGGTACTTCATGGAGCACGCGATGCACAATGTAGTAGATCGTGTCGAACCAAAAGTAAACGGCTATCGTGGATAACAGCACATCCCGCAACTTGAACGAAAAATCTAAGCCATGTTCTTCAACGGTAGGGTATACGTTGTAGACGAGGACAATCAGCGGGGTTAACGTTAGGAGGAAGTAGTCGATCATGTTTTCCCGAATGTATCTGCGTTCGCTGGTCAGTTGTGCCTTCGGGGTGCGACGTTTGAGCAGTTTGGCTTTGTGGTACAGAAGATCGGTCCATGTCTCCAGAACCATCATATGGCCCACGAAGAAGCTCGCTAGGAAGGCGGACCCCGCCATCGCTATGGCCAGCGAAGGTAGAAGATGGGACATTGTTGAACTTGTCAGGTCAAATGAACGAGTAAGAGCGAGCTGAACTGTTAAATCACTGCAGTAAGTGGAAGGAATCTAGTGGGGGACCAGCTTTATTGGCAGCGCCTTTCCTTCCCATGCGCTCCGGGACAGACGCACAGCAGCCTTGCACAACGGGCACACGCACACACGTTGGCATTGAGCTGCTGTGTCAGCCTTTCCACTCATGTAAGACTTGCCTAGGCCTACCGTAGACCCCAAATATCGCTAGCTCCGATGGTAAAGAAGTGTCACTGTCACAGACGGTATTTGTGGCGCGGAGCAATTGCCGTATGATGAGAAGTTTCATTTTTAGAATACGGCCCGCCGTATTGATGGTTTCTTCTCGGGCGCAGGATCCTCATATTGAGTTGTGGCGTTCCTTATATGGGCATTGGGCTATTCCCAACCACAAAGATGATCCCAACTTTAATTCAACTGTTGGATCAGGATGTAACCCTATATGCCTGCACAGCCGTGCATACACCTACTGTCTACCAGTTGCCTCGGTATGGTCCAATGTAGTTGGATCTTGGCGTTTCCAGCTAGTCAGCGACCTGCTTTTGTTGTTTGGTGGCTGCGGAGCTGGCGGTGGAAACTCGTGGAAGATAAAGTTCCCGCATTGCCACGCATAAAAAATCTCTTCATCTTGTTCAATTTGCGTTCTCTGATGAGCTTCTCTCTCATCTGCATGAGCATCAATCAGAACTTGATGATGAGCCATCGGCGCCCCACAACGCTCTCAACCTGGTACTGGTGATGGGAGCTCGCAGTCGCATAGCAGGCAACTGTCAACGAATGTTTCTGCTCTTTGCTTCCTCATGATGGTGTGGTGTGAAGTCCATGTGTGCAAGAGTGGGTCTTAGACAGCGAACCCCTGCTGACAACGGTTGCGATCGTAGGCACCTGTATATTCATGGCGTGATTGTACTTCAGCGGTTCAGAGCATGGTTGTGCTTTTGATGAGACATCCAAGCTCTCGCAACGAGCCGCTTAACATCTGCCCCACTCTCCTAAGTCTCCTTCGCACTCTGTAGAAGTAGCTTCCATCCCACTCTGCCCTAGCATTCCGTGTCCTCACTTGCAAAACGCCTCTCAAAGCGTTTTCAAACCTCTCCGCCTCGAGAAGACCCTGATTCGTTGATTTTTTTGACTTTTGCCCCGCCTTCATAAGACTTGCTGTACGCACCAGACAGTGGTGAACAGCAACCCGCATAGATATTGGTACTATACCAATTGATGCGTTGACGACCAGACGCTCTCTGCAAGTGCGGTAGACACCCAGCCTTCTTTCCACTCCTTGGCATTCACCCACTTACTCCACCCCCGCCTCTTTTGACAGCCACAACAGAGTTTCCTCTGCGGCCCACGTAAGTCGTCCTCGCCTCATTCTTACCTCCCACAAGTTATTACGACCAGGATGTCGTCTCCACCCACCTCTCCAGTCGGTCTGAGTTCCTACGCCCGTCAACTACGCGAAATGGCTCGAGAAGACGACAATGGGTATCCGTTCCCAGAGGTGGACGAAACCTCCTACCATGCTTCCTATTCTTCTGCGTCGACATCATCATCTCCTTCAGTCTCATTCAACACCAACCGAGACTCTGGCTTTGGGTCTCCCACTACCTGTCGAGGCAGCAAGATTCCAACATTGACCAACGTCGCCCGACGACCCTCAAATCTGACTATCACGTTGAATGAAATGCTGAATGAGCTGGAAATTATCTCTCCAACCGAGATGCCAAGTGGAAGCGG